TTTGTATCCCCATGTAGCTTTGGACTTCGCGGTTGTTTCTCCTTTCAAGGTTGGGGAATTTCAGGTTGTTGCCGAAAAAACCCAGGGAATTGTTAGTTCTTATGCTCAGACCAAACGTTCTCATCATGCTACTCAAGAGCAGTGTCGAGCCCAAGGCATTGGATTTGAACCTGTGGTTTTCGAGATGTTGGGCGGATTGGAGGTAGAGGCGGTTCGTCTGTGCGAATCTCTCTGCCAGGCGGTTGCTCGCAAAACTCAACAAGTTTTGGGTCATACTCGTTTACGATTCATGTCTCGTATTTCGATTGATATCCAACGACACGTGCATAGGTGTTGTGAACGGGTACGAATGTCCAGCCTCATTGCGCCTGAGGATTGTGGGGCCTCTCGCGCATTCTTGCTGGCAATTTCTTGAAGGATTTGATTTACCAGGATGATACCCCTCCGCGCAGAATGGAAAGTTTTGCTTTGCGATGGCCGGCGGCGGTCAAGTGAGGCGTTGAGTTTCTAGAATTGTTTCACAAAATTCTTATCTGTTTCACTTTTGGAGAACTCCTTCGTCTTTGTTTCGTTTTCTCTTGATTTCTGGCGTCTTCCCTCAATTGGGGGTGGTGGTGGGTGCATTTTCCCAATCGTGGCCCGTCTCACTTGGGATTTCGCTTGCTTTTTCGTTTGTTGTCTCTCTGGGAGTTCTCTTTGCTTCATTTGAGATGATTTTTCTGCCATATCATTTCTGCGATAATTGGTGCTTTTGGGTGCAGATGCCACTTGCACCGTAGCGACCAAAGCGAGCAACTTTTGCCAGCAATGGGACCCTCTACGTCGAGATCCTGAAATGGAATCTTTCCTTAATGATTTGGGATACGATCATGTGATCGCGCGCAACTCCATCGGCCGGGTAATTGGCGACATCATTTATAGATTCGGGTTGCTTTCTTATTACAATGACACATCGGACAAATCCTCATGAAGTATCGTAGAGCACAGCAGGTATCTAGCAATGAGGATGCGGATCGATATCTGAATTATATCAAATCTTGCTTTTCTATATGGGATCTTCGTTGAATTTTCGAGTCGTCGATATCTACATCGTATTGTCAGGCGTGTCCCACCACAAGTTACGCCAAATGATATTTTCGGCCGACCCACGCGGCCGCCTTTAGGGCGAGTGATGAGCCTAGCTCGTCTTCGGTATTCGGGATATGGATCTTGGTTGTTTTTGTTTCTCTTGGACGATGGAGTATCCCATCCTTATAATTCGAGGGGGCGATAGAGGGTCTTTTCCCACCAAGGGTAGGATATTTCGATTCCTCTTAATTTATTTTGAGATCCATCGTCGTGGATTCAATCGAGAGTATAAAACTCAGTTTTTTTTCTTGAGGGCCGGAAGCAGAGAAGACGAAAGCTCGGGGACCGGAAGCAAAAGCAAAGTTGCAAGAGAAAGTGCGGGCCAGCGTCTTCTTTTCAATCGTCGCAGTGTTGGGTAGATATTAGCTTCTTGCAAGCAACTAGCTTGTTGCAATCAACACATCACTAGTGGGCGGCGACGCATGTTGTGCTGGGAGCCTGACTCACGCGCTGCGGTCAACACGCGACGGAGTCAGGTCTTGACGTAAAAACGCCTCCCCTCAAGGTATTTATATATCAATTTACCCCCCCCCCCCCCCACCCCCCCCCCCTAATAAGATAGTATCAATCCCTGCTGCTAAAGCAGATAAAACTCCAGCTTCGCTACGCGAGCTTTCGTGATTATCATCACCAAATTGCGCGGGATGACGAAAAACAAGGCGATGATGATAAGACATTGGATATAGATTTATGCTCCAAAAGTACCCATCCGTGCGATATCAAAAACGAGCCGCGGATGAGGCTACGAGTTGAGTCCGTGATCTTTTTTGATGCGTGGCCATCACGTTGCTTTGTCAAGCGCCCAGCGATGCAGCTCGACGACGCCGCGCAAGGCGCTGAAGCAAGTCTGTATCTCCTGCCATCAGGCCTGAGATTCATCCGGCTCAGTCTGGAGAGTCATCGAAAATTGTGGTGCGTCGACAAGATACTCTAACTAACCGACCGCAAGAACAGTGTAACAGGGTACAGGGCTTAGGGTTTAGGGTTGAGGTCAAACGGGACCTCGAGGATAAGAAAGACAGGGTACCGATGAAGGCGCCGGTCATCTTTGGCTTGGGCGGCTCCGGCAAGACTTGTGCTTGTCTTTGCGTCGGAGTGGTCTTCAGAATGACACCTTGCAGGATCCGAGCTCGCACCATGCTGTGCGAACAGGTTGCTCTCAACAGCCCTGCTGTGCCATACTTGAGGAAGAAAGCGAAAGGGAACATGCAGAAAAAAACGCACTCCAATCCTTGAACCTAATCATCTGACGGTGTTGTGCGTGACGTGCGTAACCTAATTGACTACCGAAGCCCTTCAGAGCGGCAGAGCAAAGCACATTGCTCTCCGTGCGTCAGCTTTGAAGGTGGGATGTCCACCAGCAGTTCGATGAGAACTGTGCTTTCGAGTTCATTTGGCCGTACTGTGTCACACATCTTTAAATGTTTGGGTGTTTGGACACTGGCTTCTCGAACAAATGAGTGAGGTGCAAAGCTTCTCCAATTTTTTTCGTGCCAGGCCCAACCGGCCACAAGGAGTTCTGCGGAGCGCAGGAACTGTTTCATGGGCACCAAGAAGTGAAGCTTCCGAAAGAAATCATGCAGCAGGGTTGAGATTTGGCTGTTCTCATCGCTGTTACATACGCGTGTCGCGGGCCTGTCTTTGAGAATTCTTTGCAGATCTTGCAAGGGAGGGACTTGTTGCAGAGCCGGCTCGTGGCCAACAGAACGGCTTTCTTACAAACCAACCATACCCGGGATAAGCCAGGGACGGTTACATGATTTGCCTGGACTTGTTCAAGTCGATGGTAATGGTAGGTCTGCATCACTTTTGCTGCCGTTGTCTAGCTTATTTGACATACGTGCTTTCGTCATGTTCTCGGGTTGAACATGTGCTACCGCAAAGGAGGATATCGGAATCGGACTGTGCCGGGGTTGTTCAGTGTTACCCCGGTCAGACATGCAAACTGTTGCCTGACTTGCGAAGAGCTGAATTTCGCGGCTGCAGCTTGGACGTCGCACTTGGATGAAGCACTTGGTCTGCATCTTATCTTCTGTGCTGCTTCAACTTGGAGTTCATCAGCTTCCCTGCGGTTCTGTTTGTTGCCTGAACATTTGCTTCTATGGTTGAGGCTGCCACGGAGCAAAAGAATTTGAAATCGGCAAAACCTCTTTGTTCCGTACTTCTTAAAGGCTGCTTCACAAAGTTGCACTTGGTGTGTCAAGTCCGGCCGTATCCAAACTGCTCCGCAAAGCTCCGGCGGCGGCGTGCTTCTGCCACCGGCGCCGCGACTGGAGCTGCCGCTTCTGCTTCCTGAGCATTCCAAGCTCGGTTCGGGCAGTTTCGACCGCGGATGCAGAGCCAGCTAAGGCATGGAGCACAAAATTTAACCTCGCCGCATCTGCTGAGGGTGCTAAGATGTTCCACTGTTCTACGCCTCTACGCTCTGGGCCTCATCCGGCACCTCCGGCACCTCCGCCCTGACCTTTGCTGTGGGACGCTTTGCAAGTTGGCTTGACATGTTCTTGCAGCAAGATGCTCATATTTCATCATGCTTGCGTGTGCCGATCATGTTTTGCACCACTTGTGTTCCACCCGCCAAGCAGATTAGACTCTGCAGGGTAACACTCCAGGACTGTTGGAAAGACTCGTAAGCCGACTTATTGAGCAGGCCAGACATGTGATGCCTTTCATAGATGCAAGCTCGCATGTTGTCTATGTGCCACTCCGCGGTTGTTGCTACCGACTGGCTGTGCGAGACTTTGTGTCTTTTCCTGGCTGATTAGCAACATCGAGGCGAGGAATGGTAGACCCTGACCCCGTCATCCTACGTTTTAAGTATATGAAATCAAACGGGGTTGTGTCGGTGAGCTGCTTTGTCGCTGGCACGGCGGCGCCGAGCTGCCTCGAGGGCGGCAGAAGCCTCGTGACATAGCTTTCGCTTGATCAAAACACGTCAAAACACATCAAACCGCAAAGCTGACAAGCTTTCGCCATTTTTCGCCACTTCTGCGGCCTCGGAAGAGCGGCTAAGCTGATTGATGGCCGTGGATTCCTGCAGGATGTAGGATGTGCTGCAAAGCTTTCCTTTCCACCCCAAACACTTTTGACCACGTGTCTATGTTTCTTTTGCCGCTGGGCAGGGTGTAGATGTCCTTGAAGAAGTTGACAGCACTGGCCCTTCTCTGATTGAACTCTTCCCGCGACAAGCGCCGCAGCTGCACATCTACCTGGCTCGAGAGCAGGATTTTGCAAGCGGCTTCTCCGGACAAACGCTCGACAGTTCGCCATTTGCCGGCGGGCACAACTGTGGCTTGTGGCTTCCTCGGCCCTCTCTTCTTTTTCTTCTTCCTTCTTCTTCTTCCTTCTTCTGCTTCTGTGCGTGGGCTCTGGCTGCATGCCACCTGCGCCCCTGCGCTATCGCATGTACATGCAGGTTGTTGCTCGCTTTCTTTCAAGTGGTGTGCAGGCGACCTGGTGTGGACAAATCTTTCTTGATTGCTTCTTTGGTATGGCGATAGGGGACCGTGTCCCTTGCTTGTTGTGGCATGGGCAATTGCTCCAGAAGCTCCAAAGAAGGTCAGCGAAGTTTTTTAACAAAGTACGTCGGAGAAAACGCTGCGTGTGGCTCACGGGGGGTTCTCCGTGACTTCTGGCACACGTTTCTTCCAGTCCGCTGGCACAGTGACAGAACTGAGAAGGAATTTGGCTGAAGGGCTTACGCCCAAAAGGAAAAGTGCGGATAAAAGGTGCTGTACTAATTTTTTTTAAACAAGAACTGGAACCCTCCGATTTGGGGCCAAGCTTTATTACTTCTTACTTCATGGCCTCTGGGCATAGGAAGCAAAGAAATTCACGGTCTGAAGTTGGAAGGGCTGGGGGAGGGCTGTTGAATGTTGGAAATGGTCTTGGACTCTTTGGAGGTTCTGTGCAGGTCTGGGAGGGTTTGGGCGGGGTTTCCAGAGCCTTTTTGTTCAGGCCCAGAAGGCCCGATGCATTGTCGTGCATCCCAAGCCAAGAGAAAAAGACGAATTGCCTACGCAAGGACATTCTGCAAGAATGCTTCCGCAGTCTGCCGCTCTTTGCGCAGTAGCAGAAAGGCATCTTTAACTGCATGTGTCAGTGGAAGTGTCTACTCTCGCGTCATCCTTCCTTTCACTTGCTCTTCCCCTCGTTGGCTGGCAGTTGAGAAACACCTGCCTTCTCGTTTGTGTCCACTTCCGTCGTCTGTGCCCTGCACATTCGTCGGCTTGGCTGCACTGCGGGGCTGCGAATGCTCGGGTGCTATCAAGACATGGATTGGACTACGATCTTCGCTGTGTTCCGAAATCCATTTACATTGCCACAGCTGCAAAGAGGCGTGGCCCAGGCCCACACATCCACAGCTCGCTGCGGCACTGAGGGCAACAGTGAGGACTCAGTGAGGAAGTTATCTGAATTGCAGCCTTCTTAGACGAGGGCGGCTGGCACCCGCGGTATTGACGCTGGCCTTGCCATGCAGTGCCACGTGGGACGCAGACAAGGTGCCCTTTGGCATCCTATTCATTGTGTCTTGTGATCGTGCACGTCTGAAGGGTTTCATCTCGGGCCCATGTTTCTTATAGGCCTGGGAAAGTCAGCCGGAACCGCTTGTAGCTTTAGCATCGGGTAACCGGGTAGCCGAATTTAAAGTGATGATGTTGCTGAGTAGCGGAACGGAGGTCACCGGCCGAAGCCGGCCGGCCCAGAGGCACCCGGCGCACCACTGCCACGTGGGGCTCGGCGGCCCGATGCCTCCAAAATCCCCAAAAGTGCCAAAGCGGTGCGGGGGAGTGGGGGGGGTCCGTCCTTGTCACTTGAAGCTTTGTTGCAAACCGCCGGTCCATGCCTCTCGATGGCAGCGGTCACCGGTGATGTTGGGGCTGCATCCTCTGTCGGGCCGAAAGGCTCCTGAACAGCCGGCGAACTTTGCAGGAACAACCTCTGGTGCCGTCGATCTCTGTCCTCCATGCTGTACAGCTCATCGGCAAAGGGCACCTGGCCAGGGACAAGTGAGAGCACAGTGAAAATCACCAGGCGGTTTCGGCGACTGTGTTATCCAACAATTCAAAAGCCCAAAACTTGAAATCATCTTTTTCAACGACGGGACAGTTTTAAAAGGATGCATGGACGTTCGCGGCTACGTGGTCATTCACGCAGCATCAGCACTTGGCCTGCCCACCTCGAACTGCACCTCTGGTGCAGTCCTGGCACGCACAAGCGCCATCGGCCTTCGGGCGACCACAGGCCTGGGCGAATGCCAGACAAGGCCGATGAACTCGTTCACATTTTGCACTCACGAGCTTTGGCAAAACTGGCATTGTTGTTCCAGCGGCTTTCCATGATCCTTCAATCCAGTCCCAAAGGAAACCTAAAGAGCCCCAAGGAAGTGAAAAATAGCACAAATAGCACAGAAACCGCTGCGGCCTCTGTGCGAGGACCGCAGAGTTGGCGCGTCGGAACGGCGCTGAGGCGGGGCGCGACATGGCTCGCAAAAGGCGCAAACCGCAAAGGCTCAGCTCCCACTCTCCTTAAGGCCAACAAGCTGTGCGAGTGAAGGATCCTGCCTGTACCAGTCTGTTCTACTGTACAAGTTCTTGGTTCTGCCGTCGCATTGTTAACATGACTATGGGGACATGTGCCGCCCAATCGCGAGAAACGAGGGAGCTCAAAGGCCTTTCAGTGAATTCAGCGCGTGCCTGCGGCACCCGCGGTGCTGCAACGCAGCAGGTGAAACGAGCTTTTCAGTGTGTCTTTCGGCACGCTGAAACTGAGCCGCCGCGCGGGGTCCAGACCGTGGCCAGAGTTCGATGTGTAGGACTGTTTTCATGGGAGGCGGTAAAGTCGAACTTATGGTAGGGCCGTCTACTCATGTGCCCACGAGAACCAAATTTGAAGGATCCATGGCTAAGCGTTTTCTGCCAAAGTGTGGTGCCCCCCAAAAAACTTGCTTTGCAAATGTTTTGACAAAGGTGGAAACTTGTGCGAACACTTTGCGTAATCGAGTGTAGCTCATTCGATACTGTGAGTCCATGGCATTTTACTCGGGCGGAAATTTTTCGAGCAGAACATTGCACGTGTCTCGCATGTTTTGCAGCGCCGGGAAACAGCCCAAAACATAGGCAGCTCGTGTTGCCGAAAGGAAATAATGTGTCAAAATAGATTCAGTGCAGGAGAACCCACACAGCTTGCTGACTTGTGAATCCCTGCGCTGACCGAACGAACTCTCCATTCCTGCAGTGCACCTGCTTCAACGCTCCAGGTGGCAGAGCTGAATCTGTTACAGTGACCGGCGACCAACCCTCAGCTTAACCTGTAGTGCAGACCCGCAGGCTACACAAACACCATGCGAAGCATGGGCAGGGCTGCACACAGGTTGGGTGAGGGTTCCGTGTATGCGGCGGCCATATCCCATCCTGTACACTGTTTCGCCGTTGCAAACGCGAGCGAGCCCCCCCCCGCCCTCCCCCAGAAGAAAAACTACACCCAACGATGTTCACACGAACGTGTGCAGTGCTTCCGGCGTTGTCGGCTTATGTCACCGTATGTCTGTGTGGCGTCGGGAGGGCCTGGAGATGTTTAAGGGGCGAGGGTTTGGACGCTGCCAGGTGACCCGGCATGGGTAAAGATTCAAGAAGGAGGAAGGGGGTTGGAAAAACAAATGCGCTTTAACTCGTGGATCCACTGTGCCTAGCAGGAGGTTCAACTGTCGGAATCCCAACTCTTTTTGCCAGCGTGCCACTGGGGCAGAGACCCCTCATTGGCAGCTGCATTGGAACAAGTGCGACTGGAACGCCTGCAGTCCTGTGCGCACGATGCTGCGTGTCTTTCATTCAGGCGGTCAAGCTTCAATATCATGCTGCTGCTCTTGTGCGTACTTGAAGTGCATCAGAATCAATTCGTGAACATGACGCTTCGACGCTGAAGCGTCTTCGGTATGTAAACTCAGCACGGCTTTTCTCCGTACTCTTTACCCCTCGCCCTTGCTTATGATCCATGCGAAGGGCTGACACCCCGACGCTGACATCACTGACATGCCCGACATGACTGACATGTCTGATTGCCCTTCTGGCCTACAATGAGACCTTCATCGCGTAGGTCTCTGCAGCTGCGCACGAAGGTCTGGCCACAATCGACAAAAAGGCCGCAGTATACCAATGTTCCTTCTTCAACTGGCACTGAAACGGTGTGTCGCGTGGTAAGTGGCTCCATGTCTGACGAGCTTAAAGCTCTTGACAGCCTAGGTCAATCAAACACATCGAAGAAGCTACGAGTAGCACGGATGAGGAAGTGGACCAAGCCTCACCACTGATGGCGTCCTTCAAAGCCATTGTGTCGCCATGGGAGGAGCCGGCGACAAGTGCTTCTAACCTTTGAGCAAGACTCATCGTTGTGTCATCTTGCATGTTTGAGCATCGTGGCCTCAAGTTCGACTCAAGCATTGCTGCTGTGCAACTTCAGCGTTGCCCAGCCCATCGAATCGGTGAAGTTCCTTAGGCCACAGTAGCTTTTGGATGCTTCTCGAAGAGTAAACTGGGGTGCTGGTGGGGCCAAGCCGAGCGTCACGACGACGATGCAGGCAACGGTGCCCTCGGAACTGGAGGCCTCTGCAAGGGCTGCGTCTGGGAACTTGGTCAAGGAGCTTGCCGACAAGGCCTCCCCGTCCGGCTTCCAGCCCCACGCCAGGAACCTTCTACATGTCTTGGCACCGGCAGTCGCAAATTGCAAGGCAAAGCGGAACAATGAAGCTGTGATCCAACCTCCAGGAGTCGTCACCATGTACATGGAGGCCCACCTCAACGGGCCAGTTGCCGAGCAGGATCTTTGGGAAAACACCCAAATGACGGGAGTTCCCTGAGTTTTCTGCATTCCTGTAGTTCCAGGGTTGGGGTCCAGGCCCGGGGTCCGGGCCCAGCGGCCGCGGCAATGCGGCAGCGCCGCCAGCAGCCGAGGCCACACAGCCGACAAGTCCGCATCGGCCTCCTGCCCCCGGCATCAGCAACCGAGACCACACCGAAAGCTGTATATCTGAACAAAAACACATATGACACTTCCGAAACAAAGGGAAAATGGAAAAAGAGGGGTTCATAAAAGGAGGACAGAAGAATCACCGAAGCGGTGGAAACGAAGAGTTTGAGAATACAGCATGACAGAAACCAAAACCGGCGCCCGACAGCAAAAAGAAGTGTTCGCAACAACTCCACGCCTCCTTGCGAGCCCTTCTCAGGTGCACCGCCAGGCGTTCACGGAGGCCCAGGGCCTTTGCTTTTGAAGGGTCAACGGTTTTCTCGGTTTTCTCTCAGAGGGATTCAGAGGGACTTCATAGGCGTGCAGCACAGCCCGATGGGTCCGAGAACGAACGCTGCACATGGCAAACCCTTCCCACACCCCTGGAACCCCACCATCCCAGCACACCAAAGGTCGATGCCAATGAAGCCCAATGAAGCCCAATGAAGCCGGTTGTTTGGTCTTGCACGGGACGTTTGGAGCAAGCCGAGCAAGCCAAGAGCGCAGTCCCCAGACCTTTTTGACCCAAAACCTGCTTAACAAACCCTCGCAACATCTCGCAAAGACACCTGGCCCCACATGAAGAGCCGCGGCCCCGGCAGCGTCAGAGATGCCTCAACTTAGCTGTCTTTTCTTCAAGGGCGGCTATTGCAGCTTATTGCAGCTTATTGCAGCTTGCAGGAAGTTGGGGCTTCCCAGTGTCCTACGAACTTCGGAGAAATCGGCCCCATCGCAGTCAGTACTTTCTACTTTCACGCTCGGTTGCCACTGTGGCCGCCATCACACGAGACCCGAAATGTTTTGCAGCGCGATCCTCATGCATGTGCAGCCCAGAGCTAACAGAAGGGAATCACAAAACTTCAAGCTCATTTCTTGGATGCCTCCTGCTCAGTCCTCGTCATGGTTCTCAGTGAAGTGGCATAGCTGTCCTCAAGCGCCGTGAAAGCTCAGCACTGTGGTCACTATTGCGCACTACGACCGCGTCAGACTTTTCAAGCAAAAAACCCTTGCAGAATGCCATGTACAGGTACTTTGGCTCCGATCGTGTCATATCGAACTTGAAGCACTGTCAGATGCCTCTAGAAGAAACCATTCACATTACTGCCTAATGCCTCTCTTGCAAAAAGGACTGCGCTGAGCAAGGTCGGGAGCCAGAACGTATAGTTTGCACATGAAGCTAACCCACTGTGCAGTTGCGGTGTTCCTGTTTCCATCGTGTGTTTCCATCGTCTGGCCTTCACCCATATTTGGGCTGTGGAAGATGTGCCCGCGCAACTTGTCCATGTGTGCCTCTGTCAGCCTCATCAAAACACGCTGGTGTTTTGGGATCTCTCACACAAAGCCTCAATGCCGTGAGAATACCCATTTGCGGCATCCCAGCCCAGGCCTATCGTAGAGGACTTTGTCATATGCAGCGCTGAAGCCCTGCCGCAGCAACTCACGCATCGTGCCGTTGGGCAGGATCTCATCCTCAACCGGTCAGGGCCCAACACAGTAGCCACGGCGGTGATTAAGGCTGGAAATGCTTAGACCATTCAGTTCTTCTGCGTGCTGGTGGAGCGAAATATGCGCATCATCATTCTGGAAAATAGCATGAACACCGCAAGGCGTATGTGCCGCGACGAGCATCGTATTCATAACACTCTGCCACCAGCAGGAAGTTCGGGTGGCCTCAAATCGGCAAAGGAACGTCTTCTGCTGCCTGGCAGCCCTCTGCAGGAAGATTTCCCTACAAGTACCAACCCCAGGGAACAAGTCCCCGACATCTCCTTTGCTTGCAAGGCGCGTGCACGGAGCTTCGGGAGTGCCCAAACCCAGAACTCCTCGCCCGGCCGATGGAAGCCCTGCTCACGGAGGTGAGGGCCCCAAGTCCTCACAAGGCGATCGTGTGCACAGGTCATAGGTCATCATAGGTCATCACAGGCCATCATAGGTCATCAAAGGTCATGCTTCCCAAAGACCAATGTCCTTTCGATGACATCGTTCACGCACAGCATAGCCTGCGACAGGGCAAAAGCATGAAGGTGCAGGGTTTGCCCAAACGTCCAAGACACTAACCTCCAAGGATTGCGAGTGTAAATCAAAGTACTACTACCAGTAGGTGGGAAGAACCCCTTGATGCCTGAAAAGTTGTGTCTAGGGCCCTTGCCATGTCCACGCGCATGCCGTCACACCGCTCCGCGACGTCCAAAAGCTGCTGGAGCATGTGATCGCGGCAGGCGTGAGACCTGCTCATGCAAGTCGGGGAGATCTCCCTTTCTCCGACAATGCATAGATAACAACAGTTTGACTGATCTCTTGCCCAGGCACCAGTAATTCAACTGCGCCGTGTCTGTCCAGTCGCCCGAGTACGGATCTTTGCCGAAGGCGACGTTCCCATCCCGGCCTACACAGGAATGGAAACATCTGCATTAAACATTTGTCATTCTGCCTGCAAGTGCGTCTTGGAGCCTCGAATGAAAAGGTCCGGGATGTCGATCCAGGGGCTGTCCCTCGCCATGTGGTTCGGCCTTGCCGGGGGGATCTGCCAAGAAGGAGGGGGGAGGGCATAGATCTGCGGCTTTCTCGCTTGCAGGGCAGTGGGGTGTCGTTCCACGTGAGGGCTCTCCAGAGCCAAGGTGCACGAAGTCCACCATCAACGCCACCCCCTTCAAGGCCAAACGGGCCCGGAAGTTGGCCAAGTCCTCCTCGAAAAGAAGCTTTGGTGTACCAAATTCAAAGCTGTGAACCTTCAAGTTCTCCGCCAGCTGCGGCAAAAAGTCACATCCAAAACTGTCATGCAACAGGAATGAAACTAGAGGCAACGCATCGTGCGAAGAAGGGCATCAGTTCAAGGCAACTACACCAGACTTTTCGGGACTCGACTGCCACCACTCTCAGAACATCAACGGAGCATTTCAACATCTCACTAGTCACAATAACAAGGCACCGCAGGGTAGCCTGCTCGCACTATGCGCCCTCTCTAGGGTGGACTGAGAAATGGCTTATGTAAACCATTCCCAGGGTGGTGGGTGGTGGTCTCCTCTGTGCCCAGGTCGGGGTTGCAGGTGTAACGACTGATGGCGTAAGGGGAGCCGATGCAATCAGCCTCGGAGAAGTCCTTGGAGAAGCACGGTACCGTCCCACAAACTTGAGCCAGTGACATGTCTCTTGCTTTGGCCAGTGCCAACTCAAGTCAAAAGCTGCAAAGCACGACTGTGAACCGACATTTCGACGTTACCCGGAATTGCACATTTCCGCTGGCAGTTGGGGTGCAGCTGGGGTGCTGGAAGGCAGTCTTGGAAGTGTTGTCGACGTCCGGGATCGGAAAGATCATGCTGGCGTCCATAAGGGCCTGAAAGCAAAGCCGGGCCGAGATGCGGGACAGCGAAGGCTCCAAGCAGTTTGCTCGCCTGACACAAAGCCTCTAGCACACGGAACAATCTGCTGCATCCCGCCTAGCTCCCAGCAGCCTTGCAGGGCTCGGCTGTGTCGCTTGAAGTTCCGGGATCTGCGAAGAGCCACATGACTGCTGAGGGCCTTGTAGCCAGCACACGTCGACAGATCCACCAAGCAAGGCCGTCGCCAGCTGCTCGTCTGTGACGTCTTTGAGTCTGCTGACCTGCCGGGCACTTCCTCTCAGTCTGCTCCCCTCTGATTCAGCAGAAGCATCCGACCCCCTCCGCCTCTCCCCCCCCGCCCCCCCACCCCCCCTCGCCTCTGCTCCCCTCACCACTCAAACCCAGCTGTCCTTGCTTGCTTGTTTTTACCACTCCCACATATGGGCTGTGTTGCTACAACAGGATCTCTCAAAGCATCGAAGCCTAACGGCACCCTTCTCACCCGCGCTGGCCAGGCCCCCGGCCGAGGCGGGTCGCGCAGCGTTCAAATGACGAGTCCATACGCATCTCACGCACGCACTGAAAGAACGAGGAGAAACACATCAAAGAGCGCAATGACATCCAGGAAGCATACAATCTTTCTTCGTCTCGCCGGGGCTGCATGTCTGAATATGCTCGACTTGACAAGCGCCCCCTCTCCTGGAGTTCGTAGAGCCAAGGCCGGGAGTTCAGCAGCAAGATGCTCGGGTGAGCCGGGATCGCTGTGTGCTCAGCCATGGGCGTATGGGATGTCGTGGACGGTTTGGATGCTTTTGGCTTCGGGAACCTTCCGATTCTTCCGATGTTTGCCGCCCTTGCGGCTTGCTGTTGGTGGTTTTTTGGACATTGACGGGCATGGCATGTTTTGGGCACCAGGCTCGTCTTGTCGACTCCATGCGCTGAACTGAACCCCAAAACTTGGTCTCCGGAATGTGTGCTGTCCTGTAGATGGCTGATATGGGCTGATGCTTGCGGCGGCAGGAGTGACATGTTCGTTGCATTTTGTTCACTGGACATGTTAACACCGCTGCGCGGAGTGCTTGGCACTTTTTCTCGCACGTCAGCTATCTGGCAGCGCTGCCTCAGACATGAGATGTCAAGCTTGTCCAGACATTGCCAGATGTCCCCCCCCCCCACACTCGGTGAGGTAACACAACGGCAAACCTGAGAATGGAACCATAAGACGTGTCAACTGCTGCGCCAGTGCCTGGCAAGAAAAACCAAGATTTCCAGAGTGTAGTGCGGCATGCTATGGCATGCTTGGAAACACGAGTCACAAATCCATACTCGCGTGTCTTGTCAATATTGCCTTGACACGGCCAAGAATCGAGGACCGAGCCTGCCAGCACCGGACGTGCATGATAGAAGCATCAGTGAAGCATCTCTTGAGCAGAGCCAAGGTTGCTTTGCCCATCGAGTTCACATGCGTTCGACTATACGAGAAATTTCTAGTCGTGGAGCATGCACACATTTAGAAGACGAGGGCGCGAAATGAGGAAAGAGCCCGGCGCCCAAGCACGCTCAAGCCACCCTTGATTCACGGTCCAGACAACTAATCTGGGCGATTGAAGCACGGTGAGTCCGAAGTGCCTTGTCGTCCACAGGAAGAAACCTGAAGCTAGCTGTGACATTGCAGCTGCCGAGTGTCTGCTGGCCACACAACAAAAAGTCTGTGCATACGCAGAAAGAAGCAAACCAAGGATGCAGTCTGCTTTGTTCTGTTGAAATTGATTTTGCCTGGCCTCCCGAAACGCTGCTCAAACTTGTCAGGGTGCCACCTGCGACACTCGGATCGCACGTGCTGTGAAGCTCACACTCCGCTCTGCGCGAAAGGCGCTCAGAGGCTTCCAATCATCTCTAATGGCTCTCTAAGGCCTTAGGAGGCCAGCCCGGAGTTGCGATCGAACCTGAGGAGGCCATGAGATGACTTCTCACGAGGACCCGTCTTGAGGACGAGATGAGCTGTCACGCCAAGGACGCTGCCACCTTCGGATGTCCGGAAGCATCGACATGGAGCGGGTTTTCGGCCGTACCCGACGGCCAAGGAAGCTCCGCCTGGAGGCCAGATGATGGCACAGGTAAGGCCGTGCAATGCCGTGCACGGGGAACCTTCAACTTTGGGAGCTGGAACAAATATTCCATCCAAGCGGTTTGCTTAGACGTCCCTTCTTCCACCACACCTCATTCACTGTCAGCGCAATGGTTGGCGAGTCGTTAGTCCCAAGAAGTTCACCCAAGAAGGTGCAGCATTTAGTTCTTGATGGTCAGTCAAGCTCCCCTTTCCCAGGGCCGAGGTTGTTTTTAGAGCAAGGACGCTACCGTGGGAACCCTCGATACACAGCTCGTGGCAGCTAGAAGCAGCTAGCCAATATAGCCAATATAGCCAGTGGCAAGAGCAATATGACTTTGAATACTTCGACTTCGAATACTTTGAAGCTGCGCAAAAAACGAGGCGGCGTTGAAGTCCGCATTGCGCTCGAGAGCAAACCCACAGATAACCCACTCAGATGCGCGCCTCCCAAAGGCGGAGTGGAGTTTCACTCTGGCCCGCCTCGTCAACCTTCGCCTCGGCTGATTGGGAGGAGCCGTTGGAAGTATGGATCAACACCTCAAGAATCCCCACACTTGATGGTTGTATGTGGAGGCTGTCTTTTTGTGTGTGGTCCTGAATGGCCTTTGGCCTTTGGTCATTGCTGTTACAAGTTTCCATGGGGTCCTGACTGGTTCCGGTGGTCTATGCAGGATCCACGCCTGTCACCTGGAGTCGATATCGGCCAGTGGTTGTGTGGGGCTACTGCTATGTTGTGGGCGGTCAAACCCCTAAACCCTAAACCGTTACAACCCTCTCGCTTGTGGGGCTTTTGGTGGGGGGGGGGGGGGGGGGGCGGGGGGGGGGCGCGGGGGGGGGCGCGGGGGGGCGGGGGGGGGGGGGGGGGGGGGGGGGGGGGGGGGGGGGGGGGGGGGGGGGGGGGGGGGGGGGGGGGGGGGGGGGGGGGGGGGGGGGGGGGGGGGGGGGGGGGGGGGGGGGTGGAGGGGGGGGGGGGGGGGGGGGGGGGGGGGGGGGGGGGGGGGGGGGGGGGGGGGGGGGGGGGGGGGGGGGGGGGGGGAGGGGGGGGGGGGCTGGGGGGGGGGGGGGGGGGGGGGGGGGGGGGGGGCGGGGGGGGGGGGGGGGGGGCGGGGGGGGGGGGGGGGTGGAGGGGGGGGTGCAGGAACCTGATATCCTCAACCCCAAACCCTCGCCAGTTGCCGGCACGATCAGTGCCGGCTGTCCAAACAAGATCGCATGCAGTCAGTGCCTGAAGAGTTGGTGCACTCCCACAAACTGAAAACCTTCTCTTCGTATGTTTATCCGTGAACTGGGGCACTTGCCTCCAGCTTCTTCCACTTGGCCTTGCGACTACACTCGATGAATAATAACTATTGGCTCACTGAAAAGCCTTTGATTCAAGGAAGAGCAGGCTATGGCAAGGGCACGCTGTAGCAAAAGACCCCAGTGCCCCACAAACGCACAACAACTAACCCTCCCATGCCGCAGATGCCTCGTCTCTGCGTCGAGCCTCCAGCCTTGCTTCAGCAGCTGCCTTCACTGACGCTTTTCACCGCTGTGATTCTGTCACTCTGTCGGCATGAAGTCACGGGCTGCAACTCTGGCCTCAGGATCTTCAGGCGCTGCAGGCTGTGAGCCTTCAGCGGTGTCGGAGGCACAGCGTGGAATGTGCGAGTGCAAGTCTTGGCCCGCACAGCTTGACAAATTGCGCAGCGCTGTTTAAATTTGGTGCATCGTGGCGCATCACGGTGCGTGGATGTGGCGCATCTACACGAGGACCGTGCTTTCAGCAGCCTCCGGCTTCGCCGCTCCCGGCCGCTTTCCTGGCTTTAAGCTCTTGTATAAGCTCCTGTCTTACTTTTCCCTCGTACCCCACTCGAAACCGGAACACAATGGCAGGAGAGAGGCTCCAAAACTCGGACAAGCAATGCCAAAAACACACCAAAGTCGGAGCATCCGAGAAAGGAACCATGTAAGGCCTGAGGGAGGCGGCCCAGGGTCAAAGTCTGCCTTTGGCTCGGCGGCGGGCTGGGCGGCTGCGGCAGCTTCCGCCAGGATCTGGGACCTTGGGGGCTGAGGTCTGTCCATGAGGGTAAGTTTATGATGGGTGCTTTTGTAAGATTGTAGAAGAGTCTTGCAAGGCCTCTTGCTTGGAGTCTTGGAGACATCGGCCCCTGAGCCTCGTGCATGCTGACGCTGCCGGCTGCACGGGCCTCCGCCTCAGAGGGCCGCTTCTGCCAAACCCCAAATTACCACAAAATACATCCAGCATGTTCCAAACTACAGAGAACCAAACACATTGTAAACGGCTCCGCCTGGGCGGCAATGTCGTCCATCCAGCTATCTGGCCGACCTGTTCAGATCAATCATTGCGAGGCTAAGCACTGAAGACTTCAGGCGCGTAAACACTTGCAGCTCGGAAATTGATCTCATCACTTCATCTGGGGAAGCTGCCGGTGTCGGTGCCTGAGAACTTGCAACTAGATGATTCGGCTGCTTGTCAAGAAAAGACATCTCAGACAAGAGTATTCCTGATGACTGAGCGCAGCACTTTCCAAGTCCTGGTGGGACTCGAAGCGGCAGAAGTCATCATCTTCCTTCAGAAGGGCAGTCGCTAAGTTTGCTGACGCTATGCCGCTATGTCCTGTCAATGGCCTGGCCCATGGTCTCGAAAAGCCTGCGCCGCCTTTAGTACAAAGGCGTTTTGTTGGTCATGGTTGTGGTGTCATGTTCACGGTCGGGTCATGAGGTCATGTGATAACAAGAGGTCTCAGAGCTCAGTTGGTTAGAGCGTGCAGCCAATATCCGTATTGTCCGCAGTTCGAGCCCGCATGGGACCATTTTCACAATGTGCTTCATGGGCTATAAGTCCTGCAAAGCATGTTTTGTATGTGAGAACTGTGCAACACTCTGTGCTTCTCGCAAAGTTTTAAAACAAGCAGCCATGTCTTGTGTTTGTTTTGCTGAGCCAGCAATGCCACTGGCTGTTTGGTCTAGTGGCATGATTCTCGCTTCGGGTGCGACGAAGGTCCTGGGTTCAATTCCCAGAACAGCCCTTTGCCCGTCCAACCAAACACTAGATGACCCAGCTTCACCCACGTCTGGCCCACCACTTCCCACCACTGACACCCACCACATGTTCTTTATTCGTTTTGGTGGTTCTTTCTTCTGGTCCACTTGAAATTCAAGACATTCACGTCATATTTTAGAGAACATAGTTACTCGAACAAGATCCAAACCAGCTCGTTCAAACAGCCAGCAATCGACATCCTAAACGGTAAGATGCCTCAACCAGTTTTCTGGCAATGGTCTCAATCATTCCGTCAAGAGAGTTCAACGGCCCCTTGGCCCCACACCAGTCTAGCTCCTCTCGCTTGCGACGTGCCTCGGCCACTGCGGCAAGGAGACGATCCTGGCGGAGGCGTCCGACATCCCAAGGATGTCCGAGACTTTGAGGGCACTTCGGGATCATGAAAGCTTCCGCTAAATGAGGCATAGCCACGCTGCAATCACCCAGCTCCTCGTGCCTCCTTCGCCGCCTGGCGGCACAGCTCATCCCGCTCTGCTTCCCGCAGGAGCCCTGGGTAGCTGCAACAACTGTCGAATCGAGCGCCCACTGCCGTCTTTATTCGAGACTGAAATTGATAGAACGTCGCTGGGTAACCGCGGTGGTGTTGCACTGTTCTTGTCAGAGTTCCCATGTCCAACAGTGTACTGAACACGCAAACCCTGACCCCCTTGCCTCACCAAGCTACACAGACCTGCGGCTCTCACTGACAGACTGAGAGCAGGTGCCATCCAAGTCCATCGCTTCAGCGGACTCGCCTGACAAAGCCACAGATTCTTGGCCTCTGCCTGAAATCAATTTTCGGGCTTTGCGGCGAAACAAGGCATAAGGGCTCCAGATTCGCTAGTCTGGTCGGCTGCTGCGGTTGGCGGTTTATGCGTGTCTATGCAAGGCACGCGGGGAAGCCTGCCTTCGTTGTCACAGGCTCCCGGATCTGCAAGGGCCTGGACAGAACTACCACGCCGTTCAGCAGGAAGCATTCAGACATCCCCGATAACCCCCCAAGCCCGAAGCCTCTACGAGGCGCATCGCCACGCAGCCACGGCAAAGGCGCCTGAACAAAAACTGGGAACAGCGCGTGGGTCCGGGTAGTAAGGGGCACCTGGCGCGGTAGATTCAACCACCCCGGAGCGGATCTGACACTTCTGATTGGTGGATGTCGTGACGAAGTCCCCAGCGTGGCCAGGCACAGCGGCGACTCCCCCCGGCCATTTCGGGCTTCGAGGATGGACCTCAGGACTTCGAGATACAGAGGCAGAGCGAGCTGGGGGCCCTCGAAACAAAAACGGCCAAAAAAAGACAAAGGCAAAAACACTCCTCGAAGCTCAGGGTACGAGGTTTTAAGGTTTTTGCTCTGCACCAGGCTGGCAAAGAAGCCAAGCCTCGGCGACAAGTCAAAGAGTGACAAATCGTGACATGCATACGAATATATATATATATATGTATGTCTGTATGTATGTATGTATGTATGTGTGTTTTGAAACTGATGGCAGTGTGCAGTCTGCATTCTGTCCCAAGGTTGCAAGTGCTCCATGCCAAGCGTTGTGATCATAAGCAGCTGAGTCAGCTGCCATTAAGCCAGGGCAATTGGCACCTGCAAACGGTCCATACCAACTACCAACGGGCAAACACACGCAAAGAGAATGCGTGGGGGGGGTAGGGGTGGCAACTCACAGGTCCATGCGAAGGCAAAGAGCAAAAGGCTCCACTTCACAGCGGCTCTAGGCTCTGCGCGGACTGTAAGGTGCAAAACGCTGTCCTTGGCGGCAGCCGATTCGAAGGCATCTTGTTTGGAAGGATTTCGCTGCTCTTCCTCCGCTTGAGAACTGCAAGCCCAGGATCCTCGTTCTTCTTCCAGCCGAGTCCATATCTCCTGATCGTAAAGAGGATTGCTGCCCCAGCCGCTGAAAATTCCCCTGTCTTGCTCTGTGTTCCTGCCTGCAAGACATTTCTGCGTGAGGTGAAGGAGTAAGTGATGAAGCCATGTTCTGGTCACACTTGCTTCGGTCAACGGATATAGACAGAACCTTCAACCTGTTCCTGCCTCTATCTGATTCGTGACCGAAACCCGCAGAGTTTCGAATGCACGGCGATATGTTGGCTGGCAGAGACAGGGCGGGTACTTAGCATTGGTGGGCGCACAACACCCTGCTGCTAGATAATTTTTTGTGAGACCGACCTCAAGGATGGGATGTACGGGACACAGGCTGGCCTGTGGCAAAGAGCCTCCCGGCCAAACGAAGAGTGCAGACTCTTTCGTGGGGTATGGTATGTGGACTGTCGCCGTGCTACAAACTATAATCATGTGACAAGCGCTTGTCCATGCGTTGTTGTCCAAAAAGATTTCGCTCATAAAGATGTCCTACCCAATGAAATGACACTCGAAATCCGACTCCGGCCGCCAATTCCGCTAGGTTCTCTTGAAAAAGGCATGGGCCTGATGAGGTATTGCGCGTCCATCACCTTGCCAGCCTGTCAATGCCAGCGCATAGCAAATGCATACTAGAGCGTAGGATAGTGTAGGATGGTGCTGTAGGGGATGCCTGCAGGATTGTCACTTGTACAGAAGGATCTACGTTTTGACACCGTTTTGACTTCTCCTCTGTCTCTCTCATCTTCTTCTGAGCCTAATGTCTGAAAGGAGACCTCCCCCGGCCCCCTAACCTGCTCCGGGCAGACAGTGCGTAGTTTTGCACAGTGTGGACCGCGCTCAGCTTGGGTTTGCTGCTAAGGAGAAAAAACACCAAATCCAAAGAAACCAACCGAACCAACCTGTCAGCCAGCATTGGGCTAAAGTTGTGGTGACTTTGGTCTGTTGACCTGCACGCAGCCTTGAAGAACCGTTAGTGTTGCTACTCTTCCTCCGACCTTGCTTGGACTCCTAATCATCAGTGCACTTCTCGCCTTTTAGGGTGAAAGCCAAGAGGCTCCGAGTAGAAAACTTGAGGCTGACTTGCACGAGCACAAGGATCCCGGCGGGCCTCTGCAGCTTTGGTAAACTCCAGCGGCAGATCCGCTGCGGATAGAGACCTACAGAGGAGCACCCATAGGCCACAAGCATGGAGACTTCAGATCTTCAACAGCTGGGCACGGGGCGAACTGGAGGACTCCGAGGACCTGCGAGTCTGCGATCCAGAGCTAAGTGCTTCGCACAGTCCTCTGCTCCGGCGGGATCAGGGGCGTGGTGTGAGGCTCCCACGAGGACGAGCTTCGCAGCGGCAGAGCAGGCCCTGACGAAAAAGAGAACGATCTGGCATTCAAACCCCTTCTCTTCCCAGTTGCCCCCGGAGTTTTCAGGCAACTGGATGGCTGAATGTGGCCAGCGCCACGGCAACACTTGGCAGTGCAGGCAAGGAACTCCCAAGTGTCCAGTCGAAACACGTTGCAACCGAAACCCTTTTTCCTAGATGGAGGACCGTGTGCACAAGTGCAGATATCTGCTCCGTAAGACCGCAAGCGCGAAGATCACACGGCAAATCGGCGAGCCTTCGAATTTCTGCTCCTGCATCGGCTGCCGAGTCGATATGCAGACCTATGAGCCTACACATCGTATGTCAATCCTGCGCGCTCGTCCATGCAAACTAAAGTGCCACAACACTGAGCCAGCCTTCTTTCTCTTGCTCTTTTTGCCACCTTTTGAAGCTTTCTTGTCTTTCCCCTTCTTCTTCTTCTTGGACGTCTTCTTCGCCTTCTTGTCCTGATTGCATCTCTGGGTCGCTTGAGGGTAGGTCCGCCACAGTAGCTTGGACGGCTGCGGGGCTGCGGGGCTCTTCTGCTAACCAAAGCCCGCGCCTTCTTCTTCTGCTTATTCTTCTTCTTCCGCTCGCTCTTCTTCCCATCCTGGAGATGGTATTCGCAAGCGACGCTCCCCTGAAGCCACGTCCTGCCCTGGGTTTGAAGCATCAGCCCCGAGGCTGCTGCGCCCTTGTGACGCTTGGCCGGAAACGCCACGTCATCACCTCAGCCCGGAGGTCATGTCTTGCAACAGCTTGCCCACTTAGCCAGAGTTTCGACAGTTGCAAAGCCTCGACAATTTCACGACTGGCAAAGGAGGAGGAGGAGGAGGAGGAGGAGGAGGGGCGGGCGTGTTAAGCCACGTCGCTTCTCTAGTGCAGGGCCCTTCGGCGTGACTCGCATCTTTTCCCAGGCGCTCGCTCGCCCTTACGAGCCCCTTGATCAGGGCCGGCGCTTTCAATCAGCACACACTCGTCCTCCTCCACGGCTGCGCTGGCGCCTCCAGCTCTCTCTTCAAGACACGAACACATTGTGACACAAATTACTGAAAGAAAACACTGGGAAAGTGCTGGAAAGCTGGGGTCTGGGCCGCTCGGGCCGCTCTGGCTTACGGCCTCCTTCGTCTTGTCACAACTCGCAACATTCGCCCCTCGACTCGCCGACTCCATCTCTCAAACCAAGGGGCGGGGGGCGGGGGGCAGGGGGGGGGGGGGCAGGGGGGGGGCTGCGCGCCTCGCTTTGCCTTCCCTGCATCCTGACAAGAGGAGTCTCCGAATGTTGCATGCGGCGGCATGTTCTCGGCTCCTTGAAAAGCGGATGCGTGTGTCTGGATGGCTGCAAAGACCAAAGGCCTGCTCACAACTTGCGGCTTGAGTCGGCTTGAGAGGAGTTTGAGGGAATGGCTCAGTGAGAGCTGAAAGCGGTGGCTGCGCTGCTGGCTTTCAAATGAACTCGTCTCCAACTGAGCAACCATGAGCAACTTAGCAAACGGGCCTTAACTTCGGCGCGCAAACATTGGCTCCTGACCAAAAACCGAATAAAGGAGCAAGGCTGCGTTGAGCATCGTTTTGGGGCACATGATCGACCTCCCACGCGCGTCCACATGCCAGAACCTTATATACTCCAGGAATGCAAGAGCCACACGAACCTCTCAACATCAAGCCATCCTGCCGAGGACCTGGCTCATGCGCCCGGACCAAAAGCTCAAGCCATGGTTGAGCGCTGCTGCTACAGTACAAGATGTTGCTACTTGCAGCGCTGGTCGCAATCGCAACATCACATTGAAGAGCTGGTGTATGAGGGGCGCCGCGTGCGCCAGAATGCCAGGTTGCTGGAGGTTCAGGTTCCAGAACTAGCCGTGAAGCTATGTTTCTCACTTCGCTCTCATGCATGTGGGGAGGATGAGGATATGTATTCATATGTAGATATGTGGGGAAAGTCGGCCTGACAGAGCAACAGCCGATTTTGAGAACGAATGCCGACCTCCTCATACAAAGATGCACAGGGCAGCAGGTTTAGCTGTGCTCAGACACGCAGTGCAAGTTTGGGATTGCTTCTTCGCTGAATGTGCGCCTTCCGTAACGGATCAACCGTGGCTATGTCAGTTTGCCATAGGCTTGGGCTGGATTTAGAAGGTATTCACTTGGACAGCCCTGGACCGCAGGCAGTTCCAAGAAGCTGAGACACTCAGAACCTCAGAACGTTACTCAAAATTGCTCCAACGCTTGCCTGCTGCCTCGGACTGAGGGGCAAGTCGTTGCGCGCTTCAAAAGTTTGAACCCACCAGCTGATGCCACGTCACTCTGCAAGCATCGACTCGAAGCACGGCCTTTTCGACTTTTCGAGCTCTGAAACCCTTCATCTGGCCGCTTTGGCCTTGCTTTGAGCTTCCAACGCTCCTCGCAACGCTCCCCTTCACTGTCCTTGTCGACGCACTTTGAAGGGCACAGAAGTGCGCGCGAGCCAGTGGTAGCCTTAGGTAGCCTCAATCTGGTGCCCTTCCCTGCGGTCCTTTTCCTGTAAGCGGGGTGGCTGCGCTCTGGCAAGTGTCCGGTCCAGGTGTCCAGGTGTCCAGGTGTCACCTTCTTGAGAACCAGCGTCGTGGTGGCTTGGGCTTCTGAGGGATTGACGGCTGGAGCTTCTGGGATCCAACCACGTAGCAGTCGTTCCAGTATGCTTCGATCACCTTCTTCTTGTACTTCCCCGTGTAATACGCACTGAACTCTCCCCAAGTATATGCCAAGCCATCTTCAGGATCGATCCTCTTGTCTTTCTCCATGTGTTCACCAGCGCTGCATAGCAACGACTCTGCATTCTCTTCTACATCCGCATGGCCATCATCGCTACTTGCAGGCGGTGCGCCGTTCGACTTGTTTTTCTTGCTGTTTCTCCTGAGAACTCAAGCCAACGCAAAAGACCCAGATGCAGTCATGCTGAACACGCTTGCTCCTCGGCGGCGCCGCCTTCTGTTTGGTGCCAACCTGGGCTGCTTTGCGTACAGTACTAGGCAAATCTTGGCAACTCACGGACGTGCTGCTCTTGGCGCGTGGTCACAACTACAAGTGCCCAACTAAGGGCCATGCATCTGTTGGCGGCGCCTTCTTCTGTAGCTTCTGGCGTTTTGCCCTGGAGCTCTTCTTGGCCTGAATGCTGCAATGACTCGAGACTCCGAGAAGTACTTGCTTAGTCGTTTCATGCTCTGTGCCATCTGGGCGACTGGAGCCGGGGTAAACTGCTCGCCAGCTTGTTCCTTCGTCAGGGGGCTGGGGATGGGTGCAATCAGAAGCTGTGTCCATGTACTTGCACTTGGACACCACTACTCCGTGCCGAGATCAGGGAATTGGAAGGAGCTCTGGGAAACAGATTCGCTTCCCATGCACACAATCTGCCCCTGCCTCCTCAAAGTCGTCCGCTCCGTCGTTTCCATACTCTGCATCTGCCTGCTGCCCTTCTTCTTCTGTTCCTGATTCAGGGTCGCCTTGCCGATTGCTCTTCTTTGCCAGCTTTCTCTGTTGCTTCTTCTTGTCCTCCTTCTTCACCAGCTTAAGGCTCTGCACCACTTGGCTTACCTGCTTCTCGAACTCCTCATCGATGGGGACCTCATCTCCCTCATCTCCCTCCTCTCCCTTGCCTCCCTGACTCGCTGCCGGGGCCGCCAGCGTCAGCCTTGCCGAAGCCTGTGCTTCGAAGTAGCCATCCTGGACATGGTGCATGGAGAGCAGTTCACACTCCTCCAAGTCAATTGCTCCGAAGGAGATCTGCGTGTGCGCTGCACTCTCCCCGACGATGCTCTTGGCCACGAGGCTGATGAGCTGCCTTGCCGCCTTGGCCGCCTGAGGGAAATGGCGCACACGCATCCGAAGTTACCTCTGCTGTCTCAGCATAGCTGGCATAGCTTCATAACTGTATAAATGCTTTACAAACTCTCCAAATCCAGCTCTTGACATCTCTTGACATTTCGGTCCATGGCCTGCTGCCCGATCCTTCCACGACCTGCCTGTGAGGACTTGAAGATTGTGACGTGGGGCAGATACTCCTTTTTGGCCACGGTTCAGCCCGGGGACGTCGGGAATTCTCTTAAAGGTTTAGGGACATTCTTGCAACGCCTGACGGATGGCAATGATGGCAATGCACTCAACTGAGTCCAGGCTCGCCAGGCTGCTTCTTTTTGCGGCCACCTGCTGGGCAACCGGCTTCAGCAACGATGATGCTTGCTATCTTGACTCCATGGACACGCGGAAAGGATTAGTGCAGCGACACCTGGCTTTTTGTTGCTTTGAGCTGGTGCATCGTGCTCGGAATCCTGGGCAGAGTCCTTCGCCCTGAACAGACAGCATCTCCAACATGGATGGTTCGCGTCACCACATTCACAGCACCATGGCGAGCAGAACAGAAACTGGCAGTGCATCATACAGTGAAAGGGCATCAGGCGCCTGGTGGCCTCTTCCGCTACTGCCAAGGAGGCCCCCTCGGGGACTTCCTCAACCACTGCAGCTTCTGCGGCTTCGTCTGGGATCTCGGCAGCATATGACAACCCCCCCCCCTCGTCTTTGGACTCTGTACGCGATCTGAGTATCGAGTCACGAGGCATCATCATAATTCATCATGTGTCTGAACGTGTTACGCGCATCGCCACCGGCATAATGCCATACATTTTCCATGCTCATGGTTTTTTTGCATCTAACCCGCGACGACTCACACAACACTCGACCTTGACTGATGCCGCAAAACCAACTCTGCAATACCTCCCCGTTTCAGAATGCTCATCATGCCTCGTCCACTACGGTCAGGCCGCTCTGCGTGAAGGCCCGTATCAAGTGCTTCCGCAACGAATCGAGGGCGTCACGCGGAAGGAGGGGGGTAAACAGCACGCCATTCTGCGAGAAATGGCCCAGCCCTTCTGCTCGAAGCTGCCTTGGGCGCTGGGAAGTGTAATTAGTAAGGACCTTCTCCATTGAAACGCCACTTGTCTACAATGTGGCTTTGCCATTCTGTCCAAGACATTCGTTCGATCCAGCAAACACTCGGCAGTCCACTCATCATGTTTAGCACCGCATAGCGGCATAGCATGGCCAAGATGGCCAAGTGACACAGGCTTATGAGTCCCATGTCCTTCACCTCGCCAAGCCTCTGTCGCTCGTTCCAGCGCCTGGGCAGCCTTGTCAATGTCGTCAAATGCCAATCGCGCCACCAGCAGGGTCACGTGCGACTTCCTCACCAGTCGCACTCCGAGTCGTACTACGACCCCCGTATTGCCAGGTGCAGTACGTGCAGGTAAGTACTAGTTACTAGCAATAGGTGAAAAATAGCCCTGGCAGCACCGCAAGTGAATTAAAGTGTGCGCCCTGCGAGATTGCACATCTCAATGCCACCGATTGCCACCGTGAATCTCCATGGCAACAGCTGCCCTCTGAAGGCCTCTGCGAAGTAACGGCAAGGAGTTTGTTTTGGTTAAGCTTCGCATTTAAATCGTGTTGCACAGTAGCCGAGTTAACAGCAAGTCGCCATAACACACAAGGAACCAATTCAAGCAGGTACTAGCTGAGCATGCATGCAGTCAACAGCTGCCACAGTACAAGGCTACAAGTGCTCTTTTTGGTTCCGCTGCATCCTTCGTAAAGCCAAAGTGCAACCTGAAAGCCTCGCACAAAAAAAGTTGCATGTCAAGGGCGGTGGCGGTGGTACCCAAATTTGTGCATGATTTCTGCAAAACCTTGTGAGGTCCGCGCGCGGTTCTCGCTTGAGAAGCTCCGACTGCAGGTGGTTCAGGCGGCGCCGCACATGGAGTGGCATGCGCACCCCGACGAAATGAGTCGGCAAGGCAGCGCCTGCTGCACTTGGCAACCACATCAACCACGAGCCGTGACATCAATGACAGCAGCGAAGTTTCAGGGGTTCAGGGTTCGAACCCTCGAGCCCTACACCATTTGACTGTTTCAACCACTTGTGGAAACCATATGCCGCATATGCCTGACCGCAGCTCCAGCTGCTTCACCAGGGCGCTGACGGTTTCAGCCACTTCTTCCAGCTGCTCAGCTGACTTTTGCAATGCCGCTTGCTGTGCCTCGCTTGGAAGGTTGCAGGCATCGCGCCTTACATCGCTCAGTGAGCTCTGGCTCAAAAACACTGTCGTCTTGCCTAACCACTGCAAGCATCATTCCGGCGCATGCCGGCATCGACCCCACACAGTGTGTAGCTATGAAGAATTTGAGAAAGTGGTTGTTGTATACTCTTTCACGCGGAAATGGACGCCTTTCGGGGAAAGCGCAAGGTCTTTCGCGGCTACTTTCGCGGGGAGATACACATGTCATGCTTTGTAACGTGTTGGAGATTCTCTTTGCCACCCGCACTGCACACCGCGTTGGCATATAGGGCTCTGGACCTTCACCATCACAAACTCACCAACAAGCTTGGAAACCTTAAGCCCCAAGTTCGTAAAGAAGTGAACCCGAAACCTTCCACCTATTTCCACCTTTAACCCTAACCTAAACCCTGAACGGCTCGGACCCTAGAGGCCCTACATAGAGCTGCTGCCACGACAGGAAGTCAAGAGAAACCACAAAGGACAACATTACAGAACCTTAGCGAAAAGTGCAAAGTCTGTCGCGGTATCTTTCGCCAGCCTGGAACGGACCAAGTGGGCCCGACGAACGTCATCGCGACAGGTAGTCCCTGTAACGAGAACGGCTGGCGAACCTGTCTCAGACATTCAGACAGTGACAAGATGTGACAAGCAAAGCACGCCCCTGCCACGTTTTCGCAATGCAATTGGTGCGCGGTAGGCGCGCTGGACCCGAGAAGGTGACCTGCCCTGGCGCCTTCCGCGATGCCCAAGTGCTACGCGTCTCGCGCACGCACCGAAAAGGACGTCGTTCGTGATTTTGAATACGCTGCCCCCAGCGCCTGAACGAGAACGCACCGTGCCTAGACAAAAACACCAACCTTCGGTTCCACCACGCACGTGCTCGGGAATGACCTATCTACTCCCCTGATGAAAGCCTCGAGTTCAAAACCATCCAAACAGCGTCTACAGCACCAAACCATCACAAGCTAGGAACACATCCTCGGCGACTCTTCTCAGCTGCTGCGTCAAAGCATAAGCGCTGGCGCATCTCTTTCTGGCGGCATCCGTGCTTTGCGGATGGGAAGTTGGGGGCGACTCCGCCATGGCAAGCCCGAAGCCGCCCTATGCGGATGTTGCGAAAAGCTTTCGGAATTGTTGCTCTGCATTCTCCCTAAGCCTATAGGCCTAAGGCTGACATGTCGACGTGGGCCAAACTCTCAAGCCCGTTGAATGTTTGCATTAGTCACATGAGGCATTAGTCTCGAATTGAAAGCATATACATCTAGATATTAAATGAGTACTGAACACTTGCATCGAAGCATGTCCCTCAATTCCAAGGCGCATGAAACGCAACTGCAACTCCAACCGAAGGCTTGATGGCAGCCGGCACGTCCCAGATCACCACTCCTATTGGGCCCAAAAGACATGTTTTTTTGCAAGCGGCACCTACAACAACGGGGCCGGACATCGGATGGCCGCAGCCCAAAAAACTACGTCCCAACAGAGAACCTGCGTCCCAATCGAAATGACAAAGTAGCGCAAGCCACCCAATTTTCTTCCCAAAGGGGAATATGGGGCGACATCGCCGATTCTCTGATGAAAAGATTTTTGTTGTTTAGGGTGGGGAGGCTCGATGCAAATTGCATCTTGTATAAAGCACGGTCGATGCACTGGCGGCCGCTTCTCTACACTCTTGCTTCGTGTGTCAAAACAAAAACACTGTTACACCGCTTGCTGTTGGTGTGGTGGAAAGGCTGGTGTCAACAACAAATGTCTTCCTTACGTGTACTACGTGGACAACGCTGCTGAAAGGCCTTTCCTTCCGGCGACGAGCGCTGGTCTCGCTGGTCTCCTTTGAGCCATATATGTGAGACTTTCCCTTGGGCACCAAAGGTCCAGTTTGATCTTAAGCTTCGAGCCACCAAACTCAAATCTTTTGCGGGCCGTAAATTTCGATGCTGGCCATGCGCTGGAAGCAAGTATTGTTGGGAGCAACATTGTGCCCGGTCCCACGCAGGTGAAACTATCCGCGTTTCACGGATTCACGGGTGCCAGTCAGTGGTCGTGACTTTTTCCGACCACTAAACAGCCCTCTCTAGATTTCAATCTAAGGCGTCCGTGTTGTTGAAGAGGTACTTTGCAAGGCAGCGGTCGCCGCTCATATGGCACAGGCAATTCAAGGCCTGTGGCAATGTTGCAGGGAGGGGGGGGCGGAGGAGGGAGGGAGGGTGACATTTCGGAGATTTTTGATTTCAGTTCAGAGACCACTCTAGGGACTTTGGGCGTGGCAATTGTGTGCGATTCTGCGCGCGCAGAACATTTGCAGCAGAATCCGGGCCTCGCCAATCTCCCTGAAGCCATGCCGACGGTCGTAGGCGTGCTCCATGAAACCGGCCAGCACTGCAAGCCTTTGAACAACTCGGCTTTCCAGGTGTAGTGTAGCTAATGAGATTGGAAGCAGGCGTTGAACAGTTCTGGCTTTCGGTTTGTAAGAGCCGTCTTCTTTGGTGCAAGGATATCCAGAAGCTCTCACGCCCACATCCACAAAACAAACAAAACATCCCAAAAAAACACTCTACCAAACAGCCTAGAAGCATCAGGATAACAAGCCCCAAGGAATTCACGGTAGGGTGGTCATCGGTCGTGTTCACCTCACAGGGCTGAACCTCCTCAGGAAGGAGGTTAGGAGAAAGAGGCCTGAAGCTCAGATGAGGGCCTTGGGCTTCGACTTCACAATCGCACACGCAGGCAAAGACCGTTCGATGTCCAGTGCTTATGGTTGAGGGTTAGTTGGGGCAGCGTAATTAAGGATAGGTTGAATGCCGAGAAGTCTGCCCAGTGGCTGTGAGCGGATTGCAATGTTGCGCCACGCAGTTCTTTGTCGCCGAGCCAAGGAAAGCCCCATGAATCATGCTGTCGACCTGAGAAAATGGTATGGACATAGAAGATAACTTATTTAATTTGTTGATGCCACCTTTGAGTCCCGTAGATCATACCGCCCCAATGACAAATAAGGACCTGCAACATGTGCAGGTCAGGCCCTTATTTTACCTACATCGGCCATGCGCAGTCCCAGCAGGTGGGACCCGTGCAGGATCTCCAAAGTGACAGACTTCCGAATTTCTCTAACCTGCCCAAGCCCGCCCAGATGCCCCAAAACCCCGCTTGCACCTCCAGCAGGAAGCCCAACGCCGTACTGTTCAGCACAATCTCCTGGTCATCGGGCTGGGTGTCTCGGGCTTAAGGCTTAAGGATTCAAGGTCTATTGGTTTCCGGGCACGGTTCCAGGTAGCAGGCAGCAGGAAACCTCGGAAAATGTAAAACAACCAGCCCAGACTCCAGCAAGCTTGCGCTCGCAGTCAAGAAGTTGGTCCCAACATAGAAGACCACCAACGCGATCAGAAAACGCGAGAGAATCACCACATAGAGCACGAAGTACTTGTGGCTCCGCGGCACTGCCACGATCTGCATGGCCTTCCCATCCTCCGACTGGACGAAAAGCTTGTTGTCGTCATCTGTGGAGGGCATGTAGTACAGCACGAACAAGTGGTTATAGATCGTCCGAAACTCGGTTAGAATAAGCATGCCCCAAACGAACCTGAGCTGAGCTCTGAACCGTCTGAGAAAACATGTCTTCACATGATACGCAAAAGAGGGTGCCAAGCCTTCAGCTGAGGTACAGCAGCAACATGAGAAACGATGTAAAGACGCTTCCCAAGATGGAATCCTCCTTACCTTGCAATGCACCACTGGGCACTCCAGGAAAAATGAAATGAGAGCTCCAGCAAACCAAAAACCAGCCCCATCAACAATCATACGAGTATGATTCCTTCCATGCCTTCGCTATGCGGGGCCAGTTGCCCTCGTAGTTGCCGACCGTCTCATATCTGGCCACGATCAGGCCCTGTTCGAAGTAGAAGAACGGTTTCCCGCAAAGCTTCCCCCTCGACAGCTCGAGCCACTCGAAGAGAACTCCGAAGATGTCTGGGCAGAATCCCTTGTAGGCAGCCTTGCGAAAGTAAAGCTCTCGGAGGCAGACCAACAAAATGCGCCATGTTGCTGGCGAATGGAGCAATCAATTCACGACAAGGAAATCGAATATGTATGTATGTATACGGACATAAAATATCGAAATATATACACACATACATATATACATATGTGTACATATACATATTTATGTATGCTACCCCCTCCCCATACCAAGGTTTTGCCCATGCATTGGGGTGTCGTGTGTGCTCTGTGTGTGTGTGTGTGTGTGTGTGTGTGTGTGTGTGGTGTGGGTGTGGTGTGTGTGTGGTGTGTGTGTGTGTGTGTGTGTGTGTGTGTGTGTGTGTGTGTGTGTGTGTGTGTGTGTGTGTGTGTGTGTGTGTGTGTGTGTGTGTGTGTGTGTGTGTGTGTGGTGTGTGTGTGTGTGTGTGTGTGTGTGTGTGTGTGTGTGTGTGTGTGTGTGTGTGTGTGTGGTGTGTGTGGTGTGTGTGTGTGTGTGTGTGTGTGTGTGTGTGTGTGTGTGTGTTGTGTTGTGTGGTTGTGTGTTTGTGTGTTTGTGTGTTTGTGTGTTTGTGTATTTGTGTGCTTGTGTGCTGGTGTGTGTGTTGTGTGTTGTGTGTTGTGTGTTGTGTGTTGTGTGTTGTGTGTTGTGTGTTGTGTGTTGTGTGTTGTGTGTTGTGTGTTGTGTGTTGTGTGTTGTGTGTTGTGTGTTGTGTGTTGTGTGGTGTGTGTTGTGTGTTGTGTGGTGTGTGGTGTGTGGTGTGTGGTGTGTGGTGTGTGGTGTGTGGTGTGTGGTGTGTGGTGTGTGGTGTGTGGTGTGTGGTGTGTGGTGTGTGGTGTTGGGTGTGTGTGTGTGTGTGTGTGTGTGTGTGTGTGAGTGTGTGCGCGCGTGTGTGTGTGTGTGTGTGTGTGTTGCGTGGTGTGTGGTGTGTGGTGTGTGTTGTGTTGTGTGTTGTGTGTTGTGTGTTGTGT